AGAGAGAGAGGAAGGCGACGAGTCCCGCGGCGAGCGCCATGGAAGCCATTGTCTTCCCAGTGAATTCCGCAAAGTCAACAGCAGCAGCAGGGGCCAGTCCAAGGGCCAGCCGGACGCCCCCCCCCCCCTTTCCCTTCCCCCTCTCTCCCCTTGTTGCACACGTTGGCAGTGAAGGTGTTGCCTACGATGCACGGCGCCGCGTCGCCCCACCGCGTTCGCTTTTTCTTTCTTTTTTTTTCGACCTTTTTCGCCTTGTCGTGGACGAGGTGTAAATGAGCCTCAGGAAATCATTTCGTGCATTAGCCAGGCAATGGCAATCGCGCCGGATGACGTGACCGTATTTCCCTCACGGTCGCCGGACGCTGCTGCGGCTGTTGTTGTTGTTGTTGCTGCTGCTGTTGTTGCTGCTGCTGTTGCTGTTGCTGCTGCTGCTGCTGTAGCTGCTGCTGTTCTTGCTGCTGCCACCTCTTTGTTCCAGCCTGATGGACTTATGGATAATGCTCCCCGCCGCGAGGTTCTCGGCCGCGGCCCTGGAGGCCCTGGAGGCCCTGGAGGCCCTGGACCAGGAGGCGGCGCGAAGAATCCCCGATTTTGGTGGAAGTGAGCATTTTGTCGAGTGCTTCTCGCCGGGGGTGCTAATTGCACGGGAATGGATCCGCCCGGAGTCGTGCTGCTGGAGCTGGAGAAGAGGCTGCGCCTGGAGAGTGACTTGGCGCGCTCGATCGCCGTCCGAGTGTCGAACGCGCAGCGCAAGGTCCCTACAGTGAACCAGAAGGCCGGCGGAGGCGGCCAAAACTCTAAAGGCGCTAAATGGGTTTCGAGCCAAACGTGTGACCCCACCAATGGATTGCTCTCCGAACGAGGAATCCATTGGTGGGGTCACACGTTCGGCTCGAGTCCTGTTTAGCGACTCTGGAGCTCAAAACGCGTCTTGGATTTCGGCCGCCTCCACCGGTCTTCTGGCCCAGTGCGACAGCCGCTTAGCCTAACATTGACTTTCTCGCGAATCAGGGGAAAAATTGCGTTATTTTTTTTAAAAGGCCGCTGCCAGCCGTCCTATTCACCCCTACAATGTATCGCCATGGTCCCTTTTATGCGGCCGCAACGACGGGGGAGGAGACGGGGCCCGGCTTTAATATCCCCGTTTTATTTTTCGCCCCCCTGCACTGCAAAACTGCAAATTGGAGATGTCTGTCTCACAAAAGCGCTCGAGGGCGTTACTGGACGCGATGCCTCGCCGATCCCCGATCCATCCAGGCAAATTGAGGACTGCATTGAGCGCGTGGAGCCACGGGGCGCGTCCCTAAAGCCTGCCCGAGCCGTCCAGGGACCGTCACTAAACATCGAGACGGAAAATGTCATGCTTGCGTGCCTCCACACCCCGAATTTTTTGTAAGTACACTTTGGGGTTTTTGGGACGGGGGAAGGACACTGCAGCCAGCCGAAGAATCGGAATTCGCTGGCCGAAGGGTGGCGAACGGAACGGGTTGGGAGTCTCCGTGTGCCGCTTTGCAATTTAAGGCATTATTTGTGGACTTGTTGGAAGCAGCGCCTCCCGCACCTCGCTGCATCCATTTGAATATCTCTGCGGTTAGCGTCAGGAGTAAACTTTAAAGACCCCCGTTTGGGGACCCCCGCCGCGGAGCCACGGCGGAGCCCTGGCCGAGCCGCGGACCAAAAGAACGAGGTGAGTCATTCGTGGAAGCAGCGAGCGGAGCGAGCGCAGCGGCCCACAGTGGGCCAGAAGACCGGTGGAGGCGGCCAAAACTCTAGACGCGTTTTGAGCTCCAGAGTCGCAAAACGGGGCTCGAGCCCAACGTGTGACCCCGCCAATGGATTGCTCTTCGAACGAGGAATCCATTGGTGGGGTCACACGTTCGGTTCGAGCCCCATTTAGCGACTCTGGAGCTCAAAACGCGTCTAGAGTTTTGGCCGCTCCGCCGGTCTTCTGGCCCACTGTGCGGCCGCCGCATGCTGCTGTCTCTCTCGCACCCGTGCGGCGGCTCGAGGGAGTGCGAGAGAGACAGCGCCATAAGGCACGGCGGTCGAGCGTGTGCGGCGTCGATAAATAAAACGCAATCAGAATGGCGTGGCGTCGCCCCGCGTCGCCTCGCGCTGTCGCTCGATTGAAAGCCAATTCGTCGGAAAACGGGCGCGCGGCTGCATCTTTATGATTTTGTAGCAGAGTGGAAAATGATTGTTCGAAGACTCGACTCCATTCCACGTGAGATGGCGCTGCCGCTGGACCTTTCTTTGTGCCCGGCCAGCCGTCGGCCAGCAAGGCGATCCCGAAACCGCGTCGCTCTCTGTCGCACTCACGGGGCGTCCCCGAGGGGTGCGAGAGAGACAGCGCGCCGCTCGGAACCGCCCTGCGGACCCTCAAGTGCCTGAATAGACTGCATTCAGCTGATTCAGCGCTCGCGTGCGTTATAGACTGCAGTCCCTCTTCGTGCACTTTGTTGCCAAAGAACAACACCGGGGCGGGCAAGGCGTTTGAATCATGTGCATGTTCACCGCTCGCAGTGTGCCAGCCCGCAGGGCGCGGTGGTTGACAGCACGCTGCTTCCGAACAGTCTCTCTCGCACGCCTGGGCAGCCGCACGAGTGCGAGAGAGACAGACTGTCGCGGGTAATTATTCCATTTTTTTGTCGTCCCGGCCTGGCCGGCGGCTCGATGATTTGTACCATTTCGCTGTTGTCCCCGAGTTATAGACTGAACCTGTCGACTGCACCGCGCATGCGCGCGCCGGATTAAGTGCTCGCGTCTCCAACAGTGTAGAGAATCCTCTGTCACAGCCACGGATTTATAATAACGCGTGATAAGTTTGGCCGGGCAGCGAGGGCCCCGACCCGGCCGCGCCGCGCCCCGCTGGGAGTGGTCCGAGTCCCTATACGCCCTACACGCCTCGGGGCCTGAAGCGCCCTGTCTCTCTCGCACCCGTACGGGACGCGCCGCGAGTGCGAGAGAGACAGAGCGCTGGGCCGCAGGTACGGGCCTAGTTTGTTCTCACCAGTCGGGTAATTAATTGTTTACTCTCACAAGGGAAAGAAGGAATACCTCGCGTTATCGTTTACACGTGAGGGCCGCGTCTCGTTTCGAGCTTCGACTTTCGAGCTTCGACTGTCGAGCTTCGAGGCAGTGCCAACTAATCGCTGGTTATCGCGGCGCCGGCGAAACGACCGCCAACACCCAGAGTCACAGTGTCTCAAAACCGTTAAAAATGATGATAAAAAAATTGAATATTTTTTGGCCCTGTTTGTAGCGCTGTTTTGGCCCTATTTGTAGCGCTGTTTTGGCCCTGGTTTTTGGCCCCGTTTTACTTTTGTTCTATTTTTGTCCTTGTTTTTTGGCGCGGTGCGCCGAAAAGGAAACGTAACTCGCCCAGCGTCTGGAAAGGGAACGCTCCGGCCTTGCCTTCGCTTCGCACCTCATGCATCGGCAGCCCACGTTGCGGGGCGTGGGCTTTTATTTTCTACGCACTGCTTATGTCACGCCCAGTGGCACGACACTGGCAAGGCGCAGCCTCGTAAACAGAGCGGCGGGAATTAGCGGCGCGATTATTTTGGCGCGAAAGAGGGAGGGGGGGAAAAGGCGGGGCCATGTAGGGCAGCACGGGCAGCGCCATGAAATGTTGATGCTGCCTCACGGCGCGCACAGCGCACGGCCAGGCGAGTCACTGACCCCCTAGAAACTGATCCCGGCTCGTTTTTTGCGTTTCGCGAGATATTCCGTGATTGGCGGACGCGACTGACAGGCAAGCAAAGGCAGCCAAAGGCAGCCGGGCAAGCAATGAAGCTGTCTCCGCTGGAAAACGGAACGGCCCTGTTTACATTGCGACTTTGGGATCGGATTTTACTGCCACCGGCTCCGATCATGTTTGCAGAGAGTTGCGCCAGGGTAGCCGGGGCCGAGCTCGACGGCGGGGCCCTGGCGGGGCCTGGCGGGGCCGAGGCCCACGAAGCCGCTGGCCGAGATGATAACCGGGTGAGTGTGAGCGAACAAGGGCCGTGGACGTGATGCCATCATTCGATCAAACGGACCAAATGACCCGGCTGGGGCTTTAATTTTGGCCCAAAATGTGTGCACCCCGCCCCAGTCACTCTCTGACATTCCTCACCTTACAGCAGTCTTCTTCTCCTCTGCATGTCACCTCGGTTTCAGCAAGCCTGTAACTCCACTCTCCACCCAAAAAAAAGTGATATCAACAAAAATGGCTGGCCATTTGGCGTGTAAATTTAAAAGGTTCCCCGTGTTATCCCCACCCCTTCCCCTTTCATGGAAATCGTAACCGCACGACGTCACGTACAAAACCGATTCTTATCAGCTGCCTGGGTTTAATCCATGTTTAAGTGGCTAATCAGTCTCAAGGAAAAGCCGTCTATTCCGGTGTGGGGACGAGACAATTTTTTTCAGCCCAACCGGGACGGGGTCAGAATTCCTTGGTGCCTAGCGAGCTATGACTGCAGCTGGTCGGATTCACAAAGAGGCGAGGCAGTGTCCTTATTGGCGTCTTATTGGATCTTGATGGCGCTCTTTCATGGAAAGAATAAGGGTCCCTTGTGCGTCTTGCCGCTCTGCATTCTCACAATAGTGTCCCCAGGCCCAGCCCTCGCCGGAGCAGCCAGGCACAGCCAGGCCAGGTGAGGCAGAGACCACTCCTGTGACGTGCCACCCCTCCCACTTCTCACTCTTACTTTTTCTACTGGCGTTTTTCTCAAACCTGGGCTGTGAAAAATTTTCTTGTGATATTTTATCCAGTTTGAATTACTTTTAGCTCGTGCGAATAACTTCAATAAATTAAGACTTCTCATAATTTTTTTTCTCCATTTCTTTACTGTGTACTGCTTGTCTTTCATTTGCTGTGTGTGTAATCTTGTTTGTGAATTCATTCAAATTTCTTTCTCCAATTTCTTATTTTTCATATTTTGCTTTCTTTCCTTTCGTTCTTTCTCTCTCCGTTTCTTTCTTTCTTTGATCAAGGAAAATGACAAATCGGGAGGTTAAATTTTTTAACATATTATTTATTCAGATTTCGACAGGCAGTTTAAATTTGTCGCTGGGTAACAATAGTAAGAATTTAGGTCTCAACAACAGTAGTACAGGTTAAAATGAGGCTGCACGCACAGAGAACATGGGTTCAATTGCGCCCAAAACAGTAATAAATAACAATCATATGTATAAGCGTATTTAAATTATGATTACAGTTCGATCAAAATTTTGGACGCAATTGAACCCAAACAAGTAGAAACGTTTAGAAAAAATCGATTACAAAAGTTTGATAGTGCGCGATGAAAGGTAAACAAAAATAAGTCCTTCACTAGATTTTAGCTTTCAAACAGAAATTTCTAACATGACTTTGATACCCTATAAACCACAGAGGCTTTTACAAATATTACTTGAAATACTTAAAATTTCAAGCAGGTTCAGTCTTTTGTGAAAAGCTTACATTACATTTACACATGGCAAGGTCAGTTCTTTCTAAAGTATGGAGTAGGCTTGGGTACCATTGAAACTCTGTTAAAAAGCTAGGCAAGAAATTTTTCGCTATCCTTTCATTGGAAAATGCCTGATCGAGGTAATGGTATAAAAACCTGAATAGCACCAACATCACAAGCAAAAAAAACAACGAGCACTCCTTTGTATAAAATATATATCACTTAGAATAAATTATAATTTGAAAATTTATTTATAATACACTATGCAATTTTTACAATATTTGCATTTCTAAAGGAGCTTTATACACTTTTTGGCTACAGCCACAGTCAATCAAGATTTCACAATGAAACTGTACAAAACAAAGATTATTTACATTTTAACACTTTTATTAACATGTCTTTGAACAATTTCTTAAAACTAATTATCACATTTTGACATCCGGATGCATGACAATCCATACAATGTAACACTAATGCAATCCTAGAGGACCAGCTTACAGGGCTGTGCAGTATACTATCACTGGTAAAGATTCTGAATTTTGAGCACAGCTACACTGTCACACAAAATAGAGCACACTTACAGAATTATCACATTGCACTGTGGGACACACTAATCCATGGAAGGTCACTGCACCGAACGGGGAACACGATTCACTTCACACAAACACACACACACTCACACACACATTAGATATGTATTGCGACTGACCGAGAATGTTGTTGCTGGTTTTGTTGAGTTTGTAACGTTACAGGATGTTGGTTGTGTAAATGTTGTGCCACGTGAGTATTTTGAGGACTGATTGTATTTTGGGGCGTCAGTGTGTTATGTGGATTGTGCAAATTGTGTGCATTGTGCGGTATGTGTGGTGGAATGTGTGTATTATGATTATGGTGACTATGATTGTGGTTATGATTATTGTGTCTGTGCACATGATGATGCATGACATGATGATGATTACTATTACTATGATTGCTGACTCGTCCTGAGCCATGCCTAGTTCTTTGATTGTTGGGCACATCCGGCAGCGCGAAACGCAGCTTTTCCCAGAAAAGCTTGTCACCCCACTGCAAGTAGGTGTTGGTCTTGAGGTACAGCCGGATGTCGGGGTCAAGGTCCTTCTGGGGGACTTCCCCGAGCAGCACCACGATGAGGCGCTTCCTGCGGTCCCGCAGCACCTGGTGGTGCGCCGACTTGAACTCGAAGCGGCACCACTCGGACTTGATGAAGTTCTCGCTGAGCACCATGATGGTCCTCCGCGAGGACTCCACCGCCTGCACGATGGTGTCCGCGATGAAGGCGCCCACAGGGAAGTCCCTGTAGTGCAGGCACAGCTTGTAGGAGGGGTCGCCGTGCTCCAGCAGGGGTGCCAACTCCTCCGCCACGAAGGCCTCGTCCTTGGAGCTGTAGCTGATGAAGGCGTCGAAGAGCTTCTCGCGGTCGTCCAGCTCGAGGTCGCTCTTGCGGTAGAAGAGGCGGACGCCGAAGCGCGAGTGGAACCACACTCGCATCTCCTGGCGGTACACGAACACCACCAGGATGAGGAGGATGATGACCAGGAACACGCCCAGGGTCGCGATGAGCAGTGGCATGTAGTCCTGGATCACCTGGCGCTGGATCACAGTCTTGTTGGCAGTGTAGTTGCCGTTCACGCTCTCCGTGAAGTTGTAGTTGGTAGTCCTGGTGACGCAGTTGGACGAGTTGTCGTAGATGATGAGGAAGCCGTCCTCAGCCTCCTTCTTCTCCTCGGCGAAGCCAGTGGCATTGCTGCCAACTGTGGGGGCGTTGTACAGGCACCGGATGTTGGACAGGTCCGTGACGACCTCGTCGGCGACCTGCAGCCAGTCGCGGAAGCGGCTGGTGTACTCGCAGTCGCAGGACCAGGGGTTGGCGGCCAGGGTCACGTCCATGAGGGAGGCCGACGATGACAACTCCCACACGGCGAAGTGGGCGATGCGGTTGTGGTCCAGGCGCAGCACGTGGAGCTCGCCCAGGCCGGCGAAGGTGCCGTTGTGCACGTGGGTGATCTTGTTGTGCTGCAGGTACAGCTCGCGCAGGCTGTCCAGCCCCTCGAACTCGTGGCCCCGCAGCTCGCGGATCTCATTGTTGTCCAGGTGCAGGAGCTCCAGATTCTTCAGGCCGTTGAACGTGCGATTGTGAATGATCTCCACATTGGAGCCGTTCAAGAACAGCACTTTCAAGCGCTTCCGGCCGATGAACGCATGGCTGCCAACTGTGTGGATGTTGTTGCCGTCCAGGTACAGCTGTGTGGCGTCCATCGGGATTTGGTCCGGCAGTGTTTCCACGTAGCCCGCGTTGCTGCAGTCCACCACATTGGCAGACCAGGACTGGTCGTGGTAGCAGGTGCAATTGGTGGGGCAGGTCATTTCACAATCACACGCGTCGAAGTCACAGCAATGGCACAACGCAAAGCAGTGGAAGTCGTAGCGGCACAAAAACTGGTACGGCGCGGCCTCCACGAGGGGGACGTAGCTGCGGCCGCGGTTGTACAGCAGTTTGCAGTAAATGCTGTCCAAGTCCATGAGCTTTGGCTGGTTGCGCGCACGATTGTCTGTGTTCACTTTCTGCAGCCAGTCCATGGTACAGTCACACTCATAAGGGTTGCCACCGATGTAAAACTCGGGCAGGGGGCGATTGGCGGGCACGGACGAAATGCGGAGCGAGTTGGGGTTGAGACTCGTGATCCGATTGCCGAACAAATCCACGCGAGTCAGGTTAGGCTTCTTGAAGAAACTGTACGACTGCACTTTGGAGATGAGATTGTCACTCAGGGACAGAAATTCGACGCTGTCCGGGATGGCACTGCCCGTGATTTCGGTCAGCTTGTTGGAGCTGGCGTCGAAAGTACTCAGGTGCAGCTGGCTCTCAATCTCGAAGTAGTTGCCCAGGACGGCAATTTGGTTGGCGTGGATGTCCAGCCACTTGAGGCCCGTGGGGATGAGCGAGTAGTCGAACACTTCCAGCTGGTTGTCGGAGATGTTGAGCCACTGCAGGTTAGGCAACTTGGCGAACAGCCCGGCAATGTCCGTCAGGTAATTGCCGTCCAGACGAATGGCGTGCAAGTTGAGGTTTCCGTCGAATGCACCGGACTCGACCTTTCGAATTTTGTTGAACGAAAGGTTCAAAATTTTCAGGGACGCCATCTTGTCGAAGACGCCCTTGGAAATGTTGACGATGTTGTTTTCGGTCAGGCGCAGTCCATACACGTGCTGCAGGTTGGCGAAGGTTGTGTTGTCCACACTGGCGATGTGGTTGTCACCCAAGTCGAGTGTTTTCAGTGTGGGCACATCCTTGAGGGCAGCGGGTACCTCGAACAGCTTGTTGCCGTTCAAGTGCAGGTCTTGCAGGCTCGACGAATTCTTCAGGGCATCGGGGTGGATGGTTTCAATGTCGTTATTCTCAAGAGATAATAGGCTTAGGACGAGGAGGCCATTAAATGTGTAGCTATGGATGGTAGTGAGCTTATTGTCCGACAGGATCAGCGTGTGGAGATTGTAGAGGGAGGCAAAGGTGTTCTCCGGGATGGAGGAGATGGCATTGTCCTCCAGCTTCAGGACTTGCAGCGCGTAGAGGTCTCTGAACACGGCGGCCTCCAGCTTGTTGATGCGGTTGTGGGAGAGGTCCAGCACCACCAGCCTCACGAGGTTGGTAAAAGTGTTGGCGTTGACCCACTCTGACGTCAGCTCGTTGCTGGACAAGTCCAGCCAGGCCAGCTGTGCCAGGTCGCCAAGAAGTCCGGGCGCCAGCACGTTGATGGAGTTGTTCTGCAGGTACAGCTGCTTCAGTTCCCGGGTGTCGGCGAACAGTTCGGGCGGCAGGGTGACCAGCTTGTTGTTGGCCAGGTTGAGCACGTGGAGCGAGACGAGGCCCTCCAGGGCCCTGTCGGCCAGCACGGCCATGCCGTTGCCTTCGAAGCTCAAGTACTGCAGGCGGGTAAGCCCCGACAGCGCGGCAGGGGGCAGCGTCTCGACGCTGTTGTTGGACAGGTCGAACACTTTGATGTTGCCGCCGCAGCGCTGCGACGGGTTCAGGTTGGCGGACGCGACGGTGGCGCCAAACTGGAAGCCGGCCACGCTGCGGAGCCTGTTGTTGGTGAGGTTCAGGAACTCCAGGCTGTGCAGGGGGCACATGACGCCCTCCGGCATGTGCCAAATGTTGTTCTGGCTCATGTCCAGGCGCTCCAGCCGCCCCATGTCCTCGTTGAAGGCGTGGCCGTGGATGTCCATGGTCATGGACGACCAGTCGGTGTTGTGCGTGCGAACCGTGAGATTTCTCAGATCCCGCAGTCCCGCGAACGCGCCGGACGACAGATTGCCAATCTTGCAAAACTCGATCTCCAGGTCCCGGAGTTCGACGAGGGAGCGGAAGCTGCCGGAACTGAGCGAGCTCTGGAAGAACAGGGCGTCGCTGCACTCGAGGCGCAGCTTGATGGTGTGCTGGGCCTGGATGACGCTGAAGTTGGTGTTCTCCAGCTCGCTGTTGATGGTGCGCAGCCTGCAGGTGAGCGAGACGCCCTCCTCGGCCTGCGGCGCCTCCTCGGAGGCGTTGTCGTTGCGGCTGCCGTTGATGATGACCCACTTGCACTCGTCGGGCGCCTGGTACCTCAGCGCCTTGCTCAAGGACAGCACGCTGAGGAGCGCCCCCAGGAAGAGGGTGCATGCGTTGGCCTGCATTTTGGTGCGGGGAGGCCACCGGGACACTAGGCGCTCGGGCGACGCTTCCTCCTCGATGACGGCCGGTTTCGTCTGTCGTTAGCGACGCCGGCCATTTGCACTACTGTCCATTCGTCAGCTGCACTTTTGCACAAGAAGCATTCTGGAGCACTGTTTGACGCGTAATCCAATCACAACGCACTGCACTGAGCCACGGCCATGTATCCAGGTAGGCGTGGAAGAGGGCACACACAGTGGGTTTCAGTTCGCGAAACCCGGTTCACTTCACTGCACTGACAAGGTATCCACAGGTTTGTCACAGCACGAGTTTTCACACACAGCACAAAAATCCAGGAGCGGGCAACACACGCGATTTTGTGACGGTCGGCGCGCGCGACGCAGCGTGTCACGCAGCGTGTCGAGGTGACTGACTGGGAGTTTCGCTCTGCACTGTAATCCAGGGCGCGTGCGTGGCGAGCTCCAGCAGCGCGTCTGCCTCGTGCGGCTCTCAAACGCGGACTGGCTGCAGGGTCTGGCCGCCGGGCCGGGCCGGGCGCTGCTCCCGCTGGCCGTGGCCTTGCTCGGTCTGTCTGCCTGTCGGCGCGGCTTGCCGTCCGCTCGCCCGCTGCAGCCGGCAGGCCGTTCGGCAAGCCGTTCGCCCGGCTGCCTTCCTGACGGCCGGCCGCGCCAGCCGCGCCGCCGCGGCTCCAGCAAGAAGCAACAAGCAGGCCTCTCGCGTTCTCTCTCTGCCCCCCTCGTTAGCCGGCCGTCGCTGTCTCTGTCTCTCTCTGCCGGCCGGTCCGTGGTAAGTGGCTCTCTCTGTCGGCGGCGTGCCCAGCCGGCCAGGCAGGCAGGCAGCCAGCCCCCACTCCGCGCCTTTCTTCGGCACCGCCATGCCTTGCAGTGCAGCGGCGGTGGCCCCGCAGCGCCCCGCAGCCGCCCGCAGCACGGCGCTGCTGCAGCAGACGCGGCCGGCCGCCGCCGCAGCCACCCGGGCGAAGAACAAGGAGAGGAAGGCGGTGGGGAGCGGAGGGCTGCTAAAGGAGGAGGAGGAGCAGGCCGAGGAAGGAGCGGGCGAGGCGGAGGAAGTGCGGTAGTTGACGCACGGAGCGGAGCGGAGTCGGGGCAGCCAGTTTAGGTATGCGCTCCGGCCGGTGAGGCAGAGGCTGCCGGCCGCTGGGCTGAGCAGGGGCCATTCGAGTTTTAGTTAGTTGGCTCGGCCGACGCTGCGCCGCGCAAGCGCTCTCATCGGCCCCGTCCAGCTTGCCGGGCCCAAATCCACGTTCTCGACGGCACAGTTCGACGCGAATTTCCCGTCCGTTTCCCCGTGCTGGCGAGAATATATTCACATGGCCGCCAACGAGGAACCGGGGAGGGAACGCGAACGCGCCGTTTCTCATCACCGCAAACGTGTGAGATCGACACGTATACTTACGAACGGCGGCCGCAAAGAGGAGCGCAAGAAAATAAAAAAAGGGAAAAAGCCACTCCTCCCCTTTCACGTCAACGAGGGCCGTACACTCCCCGGGGCAGTTTTGTACAGAGGGAACAGTTCCTTACAACCTGTCGAGACGCGAGCAGCGCGCCAGCCGCACCGAGAGCCGGTTCTGCGGTCGTGAGCATCCTTCGGAAAATATACTGTATACATCGCTCGCGATTGATCAGGAAAATTTTAAACGCCCTTTGAGGCGGGCGGCCGGGCGCACGAACAATGCAGTGGGGAGGGGAGGGGGTTAAAGGGCTTGACAGTGTGCCGGCATACGGTTCGTGCGAAAACGGGTGAGAAATGGCGGCGCGGTCGTTCCGGGAAGACTTTCGGTGCGTTTTCAAGGTTTCAAGGCCGACGGCCCTTGCGAGACAAAAGGCGTCGCGTCGCCGGATTGGTGGACAGTGTGTCGGTGGGCGTGCTTCGCCCCGCAGCGTGTCACCGCCGCCACTACCGGACCCGCCTCTGTTCCTGTGGGAACGCGCGTCCGGCCGGAGGGAGAGAGAGAGAGAGAGAGAGAGAGAGAGAATGCCGCTTGTTTTCTGCGAGGTCATGCTGGCCGTGCCACTGCGACTGTAGTTCCACCCCTTTTCATTGAGTCGTCATTCTCCTTATCTCCCAATTGCACGCACCAGACTGATATTCCGAAGAGTCGCTGTCTCTGTCGCACTCGCAGAACGGGCCGCTGCGGTGCGAGAGAGACAGAGCGATGATTGACGTTTATTCCCCTCCCCCACGTGTGGGCGTGTGGGAGCCTAATGAGAGGCGGTGTGCGCGCCGCAGAGTCGTCGCTCTGTCTCTCTCGCACTCACGAGCGCCCCGTGACGGTGCGAGAGAGACAGACCCTGCTTGCCACCCGTGTCTCGCTCGCTAACCATATTACAATGTTAATGCCCCGCGGGACGAACGCTGAGGCGTTCAAAGCGCTCAAACGCGAGCGGGCGCCCCCACCGCCCGCCACCACGCTGTAAACACTGGGATTAATATTCAGCAGGGCCCCGCGAAAAGGCGCGCAATGTCAGGGCCTTTAATTGAAACTGCCATCAAGCGAGTCGTCTGTCTCTGTCGCACTCGTGGGGCTGTCCATAAGCGTGCGAGAGAGACAGAGCGAGCGGCGCCTCCACACGCTAGTTCGGCCGGCCAGCTGGGAGGTGCGTGGACTCGCCGCGGGGCGCGCCACCTGTCGGAAGGGTTGGGGCAGCACGTGTTGCCACTGCACTGGTGGGCCTGCATTCAAAGGGCGCCAATTTGGGACATCTGCGGACAAAAGGTTATGCAAGCTGGCGCGATGCGCGCGAAGGGCAGAAAGGGCGCTCCTCGCACCTGCAGTGTATCTGCAGGGCAGATGAGACTCGTACAGCCACACTGCAAAACGAAAATGCCCAATCAAACTGCGAGCCAGAGTACACTCGACCAAAAAAACACCTAATCAAATTTTCTTCTTTCAAGAAAACAAATTGGATCAAGAAAAATTTTCTTGCAAAAGCCAAGAAAAGTTAAATTTTTCTTGATCCAAGAAGTCATTTTTTTGGGTCTACTTAATTTATAAAATTTGCAGTGGACCAATTAGTCGCTCTGCGTGTGGATGGTTCACACTGAATGAAAGAATCCGTTCGATATCATTGGCCTGCCCGCTCCGCATGTCGCTCCGCAACCCGTTGTGCAACTGTGTGCTGTCAGCGGCTGCCTTGGCTTGCCACGGCGTGCCTCGGCCGGACTGGAGGTCCTCCAGGTCCACCAGGTCCACCACCAGGTCGTTGCACACATATGCCCCACCCATTCCGGTCTTGTAGATTGCTCTGTTTTATCTCGAATATTAACATGCTGATCCGGAGGCGAGCTCATGGGACCGAGCGCGCGCGGCCTCCGTGCCGCGCCGTCCTCCGATATATTGCATCGTGTGTTGCCGATCAAACACTCATAACGCATGTCAACTCAATTAACTAGATCGATACGCGTCCTTTATCTGCGCGCCTTGTCGCACGAGGGGCATAAATCCGGCATTGTGTGCGCGCACGTCGCCCAGCCAATAATTGGATATCGTGTATTTCGGCCCCGCCGCGCCGCCGCCTCGTCGGAAGATGGACCATTTTTGTCTTATTGCTCCGCGAGGCGCGAGGAAAACGTAACGGGATCGGCGGTACGAGGCTTGGAAATGGAACTGCAGCGACACGTTCGGAATAAGCTGGGACCAGCAGCACGCGCCGTGCGGCGACCCAGACGGCTCAGGTTAGGTCCAGCGGCCTATGTCGGCTCGGCTCAAGGCTCAAGCACACCGGCTGATCCGGCCAACGAGGTGACGATGCTGCTGCGGTCCGGGCGGCACGCCGAGACAGACAGACAACCCTACCTGGCGATGGGGTTAAGCCAGCGCACAAAGCGCGCAGACGACATTTACATAGGAAAGGGGCGCTGCTGCAGTGTAAAACTGGGGTAGCGCGTCCCAGGGGATTACCCCGTACGTCGCTCTGTCTCCCTCGCACCCGTACGGAGCACCCCGTGAGTGCGAGAGAGGCAGAGCGAGTGAGCCAGCTGGTGCACCTGCTGGCCTGTCCCTCCCACGATGACCAATAGCGCAAGAGGAACCTTCCAGGGACACTGCAGTGCGGGGCCCAGGACGACACGACCCGCCACCCTTTATTGCCTCGCTGGGGGTTTTATTTACCATGCCTTTGGATTCTCCTCCGTCTCCTGCTTCTCCTTCTTCTTCTCCCCGTCCGTTTATAGCTGTCATCGGCATCGGGGACTGAAATCGTATACGGCGCGGCAGCCGAACACACACGCAGGGTCACTTCATGGCGGCTTGGCGGCGTGCAGGTGCGTACCGGGGCTCCTTTTGGAGCCGACGCGCCAAGGTCCGCGGTTCAAAACCACCACCTCGGGTATTTTTTACCTCCAAAATTAACTTGAAGGCGCCTACTTTTCAACCCTGGCTAAAAAAAGGGAAAGAAAATGAATTCCTGGGTGGAACATCCACCTGCCGCCATGTTGGTCGCGCGCACCACCACGGCCCGTGCGCTCACTCACACACATGCACATGCGCAGGGCGCGGGGCAGCGGAGCGCATCACTGCCAGGACGCGCTGGACGTTGGAGATGATATCAAATAGCCCATCCGTCATAAACAAACAAGGTGGCGGGGCGGGCCGGGCCGGCCTGATGAGCCCCCAGGCTGGCAACCCTGGCGTAGCGTACACTGCCGGGGTTGACGGACACGGACTGACCTTCGACACCCCACTGTAAGCCTCACTCAACGCACGGTGGGCGGAGGAGGCCAAAACTCTAGACGCGCTTTGAGCTCCAGAGTCGTCAAATGGGGCTCAAACCGAACATGTGACCCCACCAATGGATTGCTCTCCGCAAAAGGAATCCATTGGTGGGGTCACAAGCTCGGTTCGAGCCCTGTTTAGCGTCTCTGGAGCTCCACTGTCAAATTTCTGGAGTAACCAACGTGTCAAAAGGGCGTCGGCGCCACTTCCCCGATATGCCGAGGTTGGCAGCACTGTAATTAGGGCCAATTTGGGGTGTGACGTATGGCAGGCCTGGCGCGGCACGGCGCGCCGCTTGCGTGCCCGGTGGAAACTAACCTCAAAATCGTAATGAATAGGGGTGGCGTTGTTTGCTTTTTACTGCACTCTCATGACCTCTCCCCTCATCCGAACGCTTGCCCGGCTTGCCACCGGCTCGCCCGGCGCGGAGCGAGCGTTTCAGGCGTAATGGCTCCACGAAACAATTTATGGGGCGTGAAAATAAGCGCGCTTAATATGCATTTAACGCCGAAAAGTTGGCGTGTGTAGACTCATCAGAATACGATCCCATGCGCCGTCTGTTTACTTTATAGATCATTCTCTCTCATAGTTGCGGCGGCCGTTTCAGATCCAGATAGAATGAAGCGGCTTCAAAACCAGAATCCGCGTCCACGCCATTACTTTGACTCCACTACTTTTTTTTCCGCGCTACATTGTGGGCAGTCGACAATTAGCGCGTTTTCAAAGCGCGGCCACCCCAAAAAATGTATA